ATAGGTAGTCACTTTCTAATTTTCCCAGTATATGCAGGGAATTCCTAGCTTTTTCAGTGTCCTAGCTTTTAATGTCTGCCTCCTGAAAGGGTAAAAAGAGAAAAATGAAAGAGCGGGGAAAGGAGAGTAGTAGCCCCCTTATAATCCCTGGAAATCAGTTTATTTGGAGGGGAGGTGCTTGCAGCATTGGTGGAAGGTTCAACAATGACCACCTTCCTTTATGTCTGCATCTCTGTGATCAGAGCACAGATCCGTGGTATTTGGAGAACAGAGGCCTTTTTGCCTACATTGGCTCCTGCAAGCTGTGTAAGTTGTTCCAGGAACACATGCACAGCTGCCTGCCCTGGGTGTAGGGATGAGGGATAGGTAGCTGCTATTGCACTAAGAGCTGGAATTGACCAAAAGTAACTGCGATTTATCTAAGCCTTCCTTTCTGAGTTGCAAACTGTCGGTAGACTTACAGAGTTCCAAAGTTCCAAAGACTCCAGTGTTTTCTGTTGTACCAAACTCCACCAGTGCATTTTTGTCTAGGTTGGGAGACAGATTCCTGGTGCTTCCTACTCCACCATCTTCTCAGAATCCTCCCTATATTCCTTTTTAAGTATCAAGGTCTGTATAACTTAGCATGTATTTTCACTTATTTGCTTTCTTCCATTTCATCTTTTTATCTCTTGTACATGGACAGCTTATCTTCTTTGATCCTCTGATAGGTTTCAAACCCATAGTTTGCCCCCTTCAGGATACATCACTTTTACTTTTCCAACTGGCATTAAATCCCTGAGGCATACCATCCCTCTGTCCTTTGTTCCTCGGTTTTCCTTTCTTCTTTTCTTTCCCCGTTTAACCAAAATAAATTATGAAGTTAGCTCTTCTAAGTGCTGCCATGTTCTCTGCTAAATCATCTCAAATCATTTCAGCCAGCCTTAAAATGTGAAGGGTGGGGGTGGGTACCTATGTTGCTTATAGATTATTGCCTGCGGCAAATCGGAAAGTTCTAGGAAGATAAGAAGGTGTGGCTCAGTCTTAAAGAGAGAACTCTTTCAAGGGCCATTGTACATGTTAGCCGGTAACTCCCCCTTTCTGGAATTTCAAAGCTTTTGTGGTGAAACAAGACTTTCTTTGATTTTGTGGCCTAAATTTCTAAGTAATGTCCAAGTATACCTTCTGGTTTTGGAACTTGGCACTCATGGTCATGGAAGAAGCACTAACCGTCTGCTGGTGTCTCATGTGAGAGTGGCCAAGCACCTCTTCTGGATTCTTTCTAGACTGAGATCATGGATTATTTCTTAAAGCCCTTTGTTACTAGATCTCCGTGGTCATCTCTTCTTGACCTTTGACCTGGATTTCTTTGGATCTGGTACTCTGTGATCCTTTTAAATTTTTCTGCCATCCTTCCTTTTTATTGCCAGCACCTTCCTTCTCTAGGGTCCGCACAACTCATTCTTGATTCTTAGTGCTACTCCACTCACAGCCTATTAAAAAGGCAGAAGACCTATCATTTTTCGTGTTTATTCCTCTCCCAACTCCCCTTCCCCTTTCATCTTTTCCTTCTGAGTCAAAAGAACTTTTGCCAGCCTTGGCCTGCCAAGCCATGTTGGCTTTTGTCAACACTTTCTCTGATCACTGGTGCTGCAGGTATTCGTCACCTCATGCTCCCCGATGTCTTCTCACAGACTCAGGTTTTTTACATGCCCAGGCTGCTTCCTTCTGTTTTAAGTCTAAGCCTTTTTCCATCATTCTTTTATTCTCCTTCTCACATCCCTCTGTATCAGATCTATTCAGATATCCCACTTCTCATCTCTCTATCCCCCAGCACATCTTTGCCACAAATTCAAAATGGAGTGTAAGAGGGGACTTCAGAGAGCTGTTAATTTTATCCTTTTATCTAACAGATAAGGAAACTGTGACCAGAGAGAGAAAGCAACTTGCCTAAAATTACAAAGTTCATTTGGGTATAGATCTTGACTCCCAGAATATATAGTCTCCAAACTTTCGCCACTTCTGTCTTCAAGATTCTCCTTTTGGTAAATACCTCTTTGGGCTCCTTAGAGGTGTTGTAATGTGTTAGCGTGGAAGAGGGAGGGAGGGAGGGAGAAAAGGCTATTATAGTACATGGTGTCTCTCCTTTCTAAATCGTTTTACCTGTGTTTACAGTTAGTCCTGTTCCAGTATTGTTTAAGTCCTCTAGCTGTGCTGTTCTTAATGAGGGCTCAGCTTAAACGTCATTAAATAAGAGTAGGTGTACATTCATTCAGCAAGTATTTTACTTAAACTTTTTCTGTGCCTGACTATGCATTGGGCAGTAGGGATGGAGAAAGAAGTCCAGATAGCCCCTCCTCTCAAGGAGCAGCTCGTAGCCTGGTGTGATGAAGACTGTGCTTCTCTCATAGAGCAGTGGGAGTAAGAGAACAGGGCTTAACTGTCTTGGGAAGATAGAAAAACTTCCTTGAGGAAGACAGCTTGAAGCTGGACTTTGCAGGATAAATGGGATTTTTACAAGACACAGAAATCTGATCACTTCTGTGCTCAAAACCCTTCACTGGTGCCCAGTTTTCTCAGTAAAAACCAAAGTCTTTTTGTGGCCTGTATAGCCTCACACAATCTGGTCCCCCATTACTCTCTGACCTTATATCCTTTTCACCTCTCCTCAGCCCCCTGCTCCCACACCATTGGCCTCCTTGCTATTCTTTGAACATACCAGGCACACTCCACCTACCTCAGGGCCTTTTTTTTTTTATACATGTTCTTTCCTCTTTCTAGAGTGGTCTCCCAGATAGACACATGGCTCACTCATGTCCTTAATCGTGTTCATGTTTTTTTTCTCCAAAAGCACCTACTCAAGTGATGCCTTCCCTAACCATTCTATTTAAATAGCACTTACTGTCCAGCACTGTTTGTCCCTTCTCCCTGCTTTATTTTTTTCTGTAGCGTGCATCACATATTAAGTTACTTTGTTTGCTGCCCTCAGCCTGAGAATATGCTTCAAAAAGAGGGAGTTTGTTGGGGCACCTCACCTTTTTCTTTTTTGTTTACCCAGTGCCTAGAGCAAGGCCTGGAACATAACTTCTTGAATGAATGAATGAATGAATGGTCATTCAGTAAGACTCCACCTCCAATAAATACATTGTGTGATTAGATTTTTAAATTTTCATAACTGTGTTCTAAATGTTGTAGGATCTCCGAAGTCCTTGAAAAGTACACTGGAAGTTAATTTCTTGTTTAGAAAGTCCAGGTTGACTCTCATTGTTAGAATAGAATGAGAACATGAGAAAAAAAGAGGAGTAATGAGAATTTCTATATGAAAATGAAAGTGTCAGGAATGTGACAGAATTTCAAAAAGTTAGGCTATTTGTTTAATGTGGGTGACTGTTTATTTCTGTGATCCTTGTTTATTCCCACAATTCTTCTCTAATTGTTACCTCATTCCCCCTTTAAGGTAAGAATTACTTAGCCAAAAAAAGAGAAACGAAAAAAATATATAAAAACAGAATTTCCATAAAAATCAGTTGTCTTTTGATTGTGATTTGAGCTCTTACGGATGAGAAGAAAGAGAGCTAAGATTTTATAACACAGGCTGAGAAGTCACTGATGAACGAGTGAGCGTATTACTCAGAGTGGCGTGGCCCCTCCAGCCTGCTGCAGTTTTTAAGCTGTGCTGGCCACTCATGTGAAGGCTGATCAGCACTTCGGGGTGGGTTTTTTCCTCTAAGAATATACCAGAGCGTACAGCTTAGTATAATTCTTCTCTCTTTTCTTCCTAAATCTTCAGTATGGCAAATTGGTCAGAGAGCTTAGTTATGACTGTAAACTTCACTGTAAAAAGGCATGCCATCTTGGGAGGCAGTGGCTGGAAATCAGAAGTGCTGGGTTCTGTTCCTTGGTTCTGTCTTATTTTCTCTCTAGTCTTATGTACTCATCTGCATGAGCAGAGGTAGGCTTGAATTAGGCTGTCTCAGAGGCTGTTTTAAGCGTGACAGTCTGACATTCCAGTGACAGGTAAAAACTTGTGAGTAGCCAAATAGAGTGTTCCTACTTTTGAGCATCTTTTAGTTGCCTCTGGGAAATGGTTGCTGTTTTCTAGTTTGATTACAGCATTGCTAGATGCAATTGTAATTTGTGTGACACAGTAGAATACCTAAGGGAGAAATAGCCTTTCCAGAATTCCAGATGTTTCATACAATGTGAGTCAGTGTTATGGTTCTTCTTCCCCCAGGAGTAATTGGGGGTGGGCATGGGATGTTTGTTCCCTTCCCTTTCTACTTCGCATTAGGATGCAGTGTAATTGACATTTTAGAGTTGTTATACTTAATGGCTCCTGTCGACGAAAATACATTAAGAACCTTCAGAAATGCAATTCGAATGAGATCTGTTTCCCATCTTCACACTTCTAAATAATACATTTTTCATCACCTTTACTTGGTATAGCTCTTTTAAATTTGTGCAAATCTTTCCTGTCACTTTGTGCCTCCATTCATTTTGTTAATCAGCTAGGGCACACATGGATAAGTCTACTTTGAATGTGAGAAAATCAGGGAGAAAGGGACAGTGGTTAGTAGAAAGCCTTTGGTCTAGGAGAACTCATTGCTAGTCAAACTAATGTGCCTTTGGGCATGTGAGCTTAGTCTTTCTGAGCCTCAGTTGCCTCATCCATAAAATGGGGATGGTCCCTGTCTTGCCCTCATTTTGGACTTAGTGGGAGGCTCAGATGATAAAACATATGAAAATGCTTTTGAACTGTTACGAGGTGTGTAACAGCAACAGTAAAGACAACTTGACTGCAGGCTTCCAAACAGAAAGAGGCAATGCCAGAATTAGCATCAGTGTACTCCCACTCAGCCTGGCACCACCTTTGGTATTAGCATCTGAAAGGAGTAATTTTTCTTTCTCTTTTCTCGTCTTACCTGCTTAATTTAGTTTTAGGTAATAATTTTATTAAGGTTTTAATGCTTGACTTGTTTATTAAGTATGTTTTCCTTCATTCTGCTTTTCAATCTGGTTAGGAAATTTGTACATAGACTCCAGGCAAAATCTCCCTCCTTCAGTGATGCCGCCCCCTGGTTACCCTCATATCCCACAGGCACTCAGCAGTCCAGGAACAACAATTGCAGGTAATTTGGGGTGTGTTGTATTGCAGTTCTTACTCAGAGTGTAATGTTAAAAAGCTTTAGCTGTCCCAGCATGAGCAAGGCTGTTCAGGAGGGAGTGAGTTCCCCTGGTAAGGGAGGATGGAATGACAGTCTGCACAGTTACTTGGCCTCAGTGCTGGGCAAAGAGATTCAAGTGTCACTTGTTGTTTGGACCATATGACCTGAGTCTCTTTGATGCTGTGATTCTTATTATTGTCTTGCCTCTCTAAAGAGGTCCAGGAGTATAGAGCTTGTTCTGGGGTCTTAGGTATCTTTGAAGCTTTTTGACTCTGACGGGACTTGAGCAGACTTCAAGAACCCGCTTTGATTACCTCCTGTATATTCTGCTCCATTCATTCTGCTGACGTCCCCCCAGCTCTAGTTTCTGAGGAAGTCTCTTACAGAGGAGGTAAGTTGCAGGAGTCACGAGTTCATAAAGTGTCCCCCCTGGCTTCCTGAATGCAGGATAAGTTACGTTTATCAGGGCAGCAAAGGCAGGCACATGGTTAGAGGTGGAAGATAGCTTAAGGATGATCCTAGATGAGGAAGTGCCAGCTCAGGAGTGGAGATAACTTTCCCAGAGCCACCAGTTTTGCTAAGTGACCAAACCAAGACTCAAGTCTTGATATCTGGTTTCAGAGTTCGTTGTTGTTCTCATGTACCATACTGCCCTCCACTTAGGCTGCTCGAGGAACAGAAAGGTCATGTGCAGATGTGAATTTAAAACCCCCAAAGAACTGTGTGCCAGGTAGTAGTGAAGGAGGAGTCGGGGCCAAGTGACCTGTTTTTGGATGAATGGGGAGGAGTAAGTGTTATCTGTCCTCAGCACTCACCAGGAACTTGTAGGTGGCAAAATATGGTAGTTCAGACTCTGGAACCAGATTCCCAGGGTTTTGCATTCTGGTGCTTTGCCACTTGATAGCTGCCTTAACTTCCTAGTCAACCTCCTTGTCTGTTAAAGGGAGCTCATAACACTGCCTAACTTCTAGGGTTGTTAAGAGAATTCAATGAGGATTAGATGTAAATCACTTAAATTAGTGCCTGGCGCATAGTAAGAAATTTATAAGTTAAAAAATAAACAGGCATTTCTGCTATACTGTGATACATTGAAAACTGTAGCATTTTATAAAATGGTGCATTAAAAATTACAGGGCTTACCAGAAAAACGAGATTAGCCTCAGGCTGCTTGAAACTTTATAAATCAGATCAAGCAAATCAAACAAAACTGCAATAATCCAGTAAAAATTCCACCACATTAAAAGGATATGTTTAATTCCTAATAAAAGAATGAATTCTGCAAATAAATAGAAATTGTTACTTAAGAAAATAGTCTGGTTTGGAAGGGGGTTTGTCAGAGTTTTGGAGACAAGGGCAGAATGCACCAAAATTGGGGAGTACAAGCTGCACATGGCCACAGTTATCTAAGAAGGGGAGTGTGGAGAGGGTGGGCACCCAGTTCCCCACCCTGGTCTACCATGGCCTCCCTGCACTCAGCTGTGTTGGTGTTCTGTGTGTTCACCCACTGTTGACTTGGTGGCCCAAAAGTTAACTTGCTGGTGAGAATTCAGGATGACCCAGTGTGACTTCACTGGTTCACTGACATCATTCTCCCATTACCATTCTCATGGGAGCCAGTTCATGTTACCGAAACATGTATTGATGCAGGGCAGACCAAGAGAAAGGGTTGCATCAGCACTTGGGCACTCTAGCGTTCTTTTTATGCCCTCCTTGCTACCTCCTGGTATAATCAAAACAGGCATGGGTTTTGGAGTCAAGTGAACTGAGTTCAAATCTCTTCCCCCTACTAGCTGTATGACCTTGGGCAACTTGCTCCATTCTTTTAAATCCAAGCCTTGCTATCTATAAAATGAGGATCATAAGAGCCACCTCTGTGAAGGCATCTGAATGGATTAGGAAGATCACGTGCGCCAAATGCCTGGCACAAAGGAAGTGCTCAGGAGGCGTTCATTTATTCCTTTCCTCTCTACCCAAGTCACTGCTGACACTGCCTCCTTCCTTCCAGGCCATCACGGAGCCATGAACCAGCAGCACATGATGCCTTCCCCAGCCTTCCAGATGCGGCGCTCTCTGCCTCCAGATGACATCCAGGATGACTTTGATTGGGATTCAATTGTGTAGAGCTTGTTTCTGCAAGGCACCAGACTCCAGCGTCACCTTTCTGTGCAGTGAAGGGAAGGGTTGAAGAGAATCCAGTTGAGAAAACAAAGTTGCTAATCACTTTACCGATGTTGTCAAAATTTCTTTTGAAGACAATCAAAAAGATTTTAGCTGGATAAGTTACTGCTTTTATCTGACCCAGACAAGTACTACATGTTTGTCTCCCTGCCAGCTGCCCTGTGTAGCTCCTAACTGTTGTGTGATTTGAACGGCTTTTGCATATTTGTGTCCGTTTGATGTTGACCACAAGTGCCAGACTGATTTTTCAGACAGAGCCTATTTTGCTGCAAGCAGTTTATAGATACATATGTGTAAATATATGTACAAAAATTACTGAAAGGCTTCAGTTTTTCTAATTGGATTATTACGTCTTGAAAAGAAAGTTACTGTGAGTTTTTATTCCTTGTTAGGCTATTTTCTGCAGGATGCTTTTAACTGATATAGGCAACTGAAAGGAAATAGGTTTTTTTCAAAGCCCAATTCCCCTTATTTAATCTTTTTCAGAAACTTGGGTATTGAGTTATACTCAGTAAGTCAAAGAACCCAGAGTTTGATACTCTCCAAACAATCCAGAGGGGCATGCTTTTCCTGAGCAGCATGAAGAACTGACCAAATTTATTTTGATGGTTGGGGGATTACGGAGTTTATGTTGTACTTCGTCAATGTCTGTTTTCCGAAATCTGCATTATAAGGGTTCTAAAATATATTTGATCAGTTAGCTGGGCATTGCTTGGCTCTTTAACAAAATCATTGCCTCCATATTCACTCATGTATTTATTATTTTCAAAAGTGTTATTTTAATATTTATTGCTGCCTTCTGTGAATGCTCAGCTCCTATTGGGTTCATTAAGGAGAAGTGTGGTGTCTGAAAGCACAGAATTGTTTTTCTTAAGAGTTTACAGACAAGACAATCAGAGAGATTGTGTCGTTCTCTTTATCGTCGCTTCTTTTACCATGTGAGTATATTTCTCTATCTTAGCATTCCTGCTGATTGAGATGTATTAGCTAAGTAGGATTTTTCTGGAATTCGAATCAGAGTTCATTTGGGCAATAGAACAACAGGGCACTGTTTATAATGCAAGTTTCTTCACTTATTCTCTTTCCATTTAGGAAGCACTGAAAGGAGGATAGAGCCACACACAGATTTTATTTGCCTCAGTCTTCAGTGCAGTATCCTTAAGTGGTCTGCTGTTTCTGTTGTCCTGTGTGTCTGTGTATGCATGACATTGGGTTACTTTCTTTGAAACTCGGCGTGCCTCGTTGGGGTTTTTATTAGTTGTTTTTTTGTTTTGTTTCATATTGTATCATAGTTACTTTGCATGGATTGATTGTCTTAGTTTTATCATAAAAGTAACAGAAATGAGATTTTTTTTTTTAAAATGAATAGATTTTGAATTGGTTCTTTAGACCATAAAAAAGGCAGAATTTCTTTCAGTTATAATGGGGTAATGATATGTTCCATCAAATCAAGGAGTAATAACTGCTCACTGGTTGCTTTTTAGCATCTCTAGTCTCTATCTTTATGCTTTAAATCACTTTAATTAGCCTTAGTGATAATGTGGTTGAGTGTTCTCTACTTGAACTAAACAGACATCTTTGTTTCTGTATGTGTGTATGTGAGAGTGTTTGTCAACGTGTGTGGGTACTTGTTTTTTTTAATGGAGTGTTGCCTTTAATGAATCACTGGGAAGCCAGCCATAGTAAAGGCTGGTGAGGTTGGGGAGAAAGGAAGGGCTTTATGTTCCTGTTGTTTGGACCCTGCTTGGCATGAAAAAGGAAGCTCAGTTCCAGCCCCTTGGATCAGTGAAGATCGGAGGATTCTGGCAAGGCAGCCAACAGGCCCCTCTTACACAGATCAGAGGGCAAGATGAGGTAGCAGCCTGCAGAGCAAAAACTTGAAAAAATGGCGGGGAGGGGGGACTTTCAATAGTCGTGCTCAAGTCACTGTTTTCTAGATACCAAAATAGCTGTTTTGAAACTTTAAATTGCTTGGGTAGCAATGTGCACTTTAAAACAATTTGTGTATTGGAATGCAGTCTTACCTTGAATGATTTGAGTAGAAACCACTGATGAAGATTTTTACAAATTTTGTGAAGCTAATTTCCCATTTGGCAATCATTTACTGATTTGCAGTGATCAATATTTTTATGAGAATTTAAACTTACAAATGGCCCTGGAGGCAGAGCCTCCACTCAGACCCATCGCACTCTTGTGATGCAGGTGGCCCGGGAGCCCAAGACAGGCCTTCTCAGTGGGCTTCAGCCGGCCAGAGCTACCTGGTGAGGTGCAGAGCATCCCCTCTAGTGGCTGTTTCAGTTGGTAGTTGTTAATGCAGAGCAAGTTCTGTTTTGGGCTTAAATTGAAGACTTTTGGGGAAAAGAATAAATGCATATAATCAAATGGGGTACTCTGTCCAGGAAAATAATCCGACTGGCATTTGTGGCAGTTTTTGAAATGTAAATGTATTCATGTGTGTTCTTGTAAATATATGTCTCTCAGATGTCCTTTGAAGTGGGAGGGAATCAATCCGGGGATTATTTCAAATGGAATAGAGTATTTTGATATTGTTCATTCAGAGGGTGATGTGTACATATCTATATTGTATATATGTGATGAAAATGCATTGGCTTTTTGTGCAAACACAACCTGCTCTCTGTACTGCTGTTGGACAGTCAGTGTTTTAATGTTTCTACAGTTTTGCTATTGCACGATTTCATATTTTGCCTCTATGATGAACGGCACCCATTCTTTGTAACTGTTTAGTGCTGTAAAGAAATACCCCAAGTGTCATTAGGATTGTTGCTGCCAGAACTGATATGCATGAATGGCACTTAAAATAAATATATTATGTTAACTCTATTTATAACACCAGTTGGCCTGTGTCATTTGCCACAATTGAGGGAACAAGATTGGAGCCTCCTTGGAGAAACTTGGAGACAGTCCTTGTGGTCTTGGAGATTGTGTCCCATGTGTTGCTGCCTTTAGGGATATCTCACTAGCTCTATAAACTTGGGGAACGTACTTAGTTTCTCTGAGCCTCATTTTCCTCATTTGCATTGTCTTCAAGATGAGGATAATTACCTATCTCCTAGAGTTGTAGTGGGATTAAATTAATGCATTTAAACATTTAGAACAGTAAAAGCACTCAGCATGTGCCAGGTGCTGTGCTAAGTAGATAACTGTTATCTTCATTTTATAATGTGGTTACAACTTCGGAGGTACAGTGGCTTACCCAGATCCTTTATTGGAAGTGACAGAGCTGAGTTTGAATCCAGCTTATTTGATTCCAATATCATGTTCTTTTATACCATCCTCTGTTACTTCCAAGAAATTCCCCTACCCTACCCGCATCCTTGACCCCATTCTTGCCCCCACATGTGCCTTCCCAGAGAGGTACCTCCTAAAGGTGAAGGTGGAGCTTCTTAACGTTTGTTGAATACATGCTCTGTCGGCCTTCCCAGGAGAAAGCCACAACTCCTGCCTTTAGTGAGTGCAGACTTAGCCAGGACAGGCAACAGACACCAGCTCAGGGGCACAGCCCAGGGTAGCTGCTCTGAAGGTGCACCCTAGCAGGGCAAGATTCTGGTGGTGAGGAGTTAGGTTATGCTGAGGGCTGAGGCAGTGGTCTAGGAAGGCCTCAACCTGACATGGGCTACTTAAGTTTGAGTCTTCAAAGGGTCCTGGACAGATAGGAGAAGGTTTTTCCATTTATACCACTGCTATGAGCTAGGCATGGAAGCTAGACTAGCATAGGGATGGGGATGGAAGCAGAAGAAGTGATGGTTTGCTGGTGAAGAACCAAGCACAGCAATCCTATAAGTGGTGGGGTCCCAACTTCATTGATACGGAAACAGGTTCAGAGGTTAAGCACTAGGCAGACCAACAATACTGGTGGAAGTGGACTTGAAGCTGCGGTCTGCCTAACTCAAGACGGGGAGGGCGGGCTTCCTGCCAATCCCATAATCCTGCCCAGGGCCTCTTGCTGCTTCTAACTGAACCCGTACATAACTGCCAGGAAAAGTTATGTATTGCAGTTTTACCATTGGGGAAACTGAGGTTCAGAAAGTTCAACTTGTTTAAGTTCTCACAGCTAATAGAAGACCTGGGATAAATCAGTCTGGGTCTGACTTCATGCAAAGCTCGTTTCTTTTTACCTCACTGCCTTCCAAAAGGGAATTTTCCCAAAGCCAGAGGTAATGCCTGTCCACCAGTGTATGTGTGTCTCTCGGAGGGAGGAGCTCTGGTTTTCTGCCATTACAGGTAAATTTTGGTCATTAGCAGTGCCTCTGAAGGGCTGTAGGAGGGGCATGGTTAAACCCGGTCACTTTGTGCTGATTCAGGCGCAGCTGAAGTGCAACTTTGGGCTAATCAAATGAAAAAAGTAAACAAGATCATTAAGATGCATGTTTAATTCTCAAGGCTTTGACATGTTCCAGTGTGCAAAGGGCTGCTATTTATAGATGTGCCCTTACCAGCTGGATAAAGCAGGCCTGTGAAAGCCACATAAGCATCAGTTAGCATTCATGTAAGGCTTGACTGCATCTTAACTCCCTAGAATCGTTAACTATCTTGAAGGCTTCAAGCTAGAAGCAGCCTTTGAAATCATCTAAGACAGCTCCTGCATTTTGCTCTTGAGAACACAGACCCAGAGAGGGAAGTGACTTGCTAAAAGTCAGTATCTAGAGGAAGACTTGGGGAAGAGTGGGGAGGGGGGAGTGTCATCTACTTGGCAGAAATTTAAAATTCCTACACACATTGTCTTACCTGACCTGAGCAGGAACCTGATGCTGTGGTACTGTTACTGTCCCATTTTACGGAAGAGAGGCAGGCACAGTGCAGCTACATCCGGTGTGCACTCAGAGCTCTCCAAGGCAGTTGTACACACTTGGCCAAAAAGAGAATGGAAATACTGACTGTCCACCTGTGATGAGCGTGTGCCCCTCTGTGAGTGTGAGGTGGCAGATCTGAACCTGAGACCGTAACTGGTAGCCACGTCCCTGTACCGTCTGTGAGAGTGGAGAGTCCCTGCATCAGTGCCGAGAGTGACTCGGATAAAGATCCACAT